ATGAGATTCCACTACACACGTATTAGAATGGCCAACATTCCAAGCAATGACAGCTCCAAATGCTGGTGAGGACATGGAGCAACAGGAACTCTCATTCACTGCTGGAGGGAATGCAAAATGCTACAGCCACTTTGGAAGACAGTTTGCAGTTTCTTACAAAACTAAACATACTTTTACCATATGACCCAGCAATCATGTTCCTTGGCATTTACCAAAGGAGTTGAACACTTATGTCCACACACACTTCACAGAAATGTTTACAGCAGCTTTATTCATAATCGACAAAAACGGGAAGCAACTGAGATATCGTTCAATAGGTGAATGGATAAACAAACCATGGTATAGCAGACAATGGAATATTACTCCTCAATGAAAAGAAATGAGCTATCAAGTCATGAAAAGACATGGAGGAAACGTCAATGCATATTGCTAAGTGAACAAAGCCAATCTGAATAGGTTACATTCTGTAGTAAGATTCCAACTATATGACATTCAGGAAAGGGCACATCTATGGAGACAGTCCAAACTCAGTGGTTGCCAGGCATCAGGGGTTTGAGCTCATGACTAAATAGGTGGAATACAGGATTTTCAGGGTGACAGGATGATTCTGTATGACACTGTAAAGATGGATGCATGACGTCATGCATTTGTCCAAACCCATATACTGTACAACACAAAGAGTGAACCTTAATGTAAACTACGGACTTTAGTTAATAACAGTGTATTGATGTTGGCTCCCCAGTGATACAAAATGTATCACAGTAATGCCAGACGTTAGTTAGTAACAGAGGAAACTCGGAGGGAGATATTATGGAACTGATATGGGAACGCTAAACTATGTTTTAGATTTTCATGTAAATCTAAAACATAAAGACAATCGTTTTTTTCCTAATATCTAGTTCAAAGGAGAGGTCCAAGTGAGGTGAAATTGTCAGAGGTGTCATGAAAGAAGTGAGGCTTTAGCTGGGTCCTAGAGGGTACACGGAATGTCTAGAGTTAGAAAGGACAAGGCATTGCAGCTGGCATAGAGGCATGAAACAGACTCAGAGGGCTCAACTTGCGAAGGAGCAGGAAATCACACAGAAGAAATCAATGCAAAGACAACAAGCAGGGGTTTCATGGAAGCTAGGGGCCCAGGCAAAGGCCTGGAGCCTACAAGGGCTGCAGCATCATTCCAATATGGGTAAATATAGACTTGCCCCAAGCTGGGTCCTCAACACATAGTCATTCAATAAATATTGAGTGGGCACCTCCTGTGTTCCAAACACTGTAGTAGGCATGGGGGTCAAGGAGTGAAAGAAAAAAAAGAAAAATCTCTGTTCTCACTGAGCTTCTGTCCTAGTGACAGGAGACAGAACCTGCCTGGTGTTTTCGCATTTTCGGGAAACAGCCAAGAAGCCAGTAGGACTGGAATGGAATGAAGGAGGGAGGGAAAAGGTGAGATAAAGTAGATAATAGAGGTCAGTCTGTGTAGGGCACTGGGGGCCAGAATAAATAAGGATTTTGACTTTTACCCTCAGGCATTCAGGGAACAATTGGAGGGTTTTGAGTGGCTGAGTGACTTGACTGACACCTGAATAGGGTCAGCCTTGCTTCTGAGTTGAGAATAGATAAAGGATAGGAGTGGCTGCAGGGAGACCAGACAGGTTGGTGCAATAACACAAGAGAAGATGGGGGCTTCAACCATGGTTTTAGCAGTGCAACTGTTGAGAAACAGGGGTGGACTCTGAAAGGATTTGCTGATAGATTAGACGTGTGAGAGAAAGAGAGGGTCAGAGTGAGTCAGTTTGAGGCCTGAGCAACTAACTCGGAAGGGCTGCCAGTGACTGAGAGAGAGGAGAATGTGGGAGGAGCAGGCTCACAAGCAGGGCTGAGCCCATATCTGAAATCAGCTGAGTTGTCTTGAAAGCGGCCATTTTGAGAGCTAGAGATCAGAGCGAGGCTGAGGCTGAGACCCAGAGTTAAGTGGACAAGACTAAGTCACTCCATCCAGGTATCAAGGAGAGGCATGTTGATTCACTGAACATTTCCTAAAAATCAACCACTTTGTATGTGCCAGAGACGCAAACGTAAGAAAGACATCGTTCCTGCCTGGAAGGAACTCAGTCCAATGAGGGGAAACAGAAATATAAGTAAATGATTCTAGTACTGTACATTAAGCAGCCCAGCAGAGCTATTCAACACTTACCGAGTCCCTGCGCTATGCCAAGTGGTATGGTGAGAAAGCAAGGGGGTATGAATACAGTTCTGGAAGAGCACAAAAGAAATTCTTGCAAAGGTTCCTAAAGACATTCACAAGGGTTTTCACCAGGGTGACATCAGGGAGTTGGCAGTAACCGAGACACCCATCGCTAGGGGAATGTATCAGAAAATCTACGGAATACTCGGCAGCAGTTGGAAGCCAAAAACCAGGTGTATGCACAGCCATGTGGGTTAGCTTAAGAACATGGTGTTGAATGCCAACAGTGGGGAACAGAGATTTACGGTCCAATCCCATCTCTGTAATTGTAGAAGGCATACGCAAAACACTGCATGTCTTAAATTGTCAAGAATCTATAGCAAATATATTGTGGTTAGTGTCTAGAAAAAGAGTGAGAGTGAGGATTGAGAAAGTCAAGGAAAAATAATATAAATATAAAATAACATAAATAAGGGAGGGGCCTTGCTGGGACTGATGATGACAACGGGTTGAGAATCGTGGAGCAAAGTTAATTCAACATTGCACCTGAGGTAAAATAACTAGCTAATAGGAATCCAGCTGATAACCCTCAGGCGAAGGGTATTTCTGGGGGGCGGGCAGGAAGGGTGTGGAGAGACACGAAGGCACGAAAGTGCATTGAAGGTTCAAGGAACAGCACCCAGTTGAGTGCGGCTTATAGCGGTTGTGATGAGACGTTAATATTTGAAAGCCCTGGGTAAAGGGAACACCCTACATGTGGAAGGTATTATCGTTCTCATCAATCCCCTTCTACTCTATTGGGGTTAAAAATCACGCTATGCTCCCATCCAGCCTATGGTGAGATTTTCGTTCAGCCCTATTAGGGTCTTTGCATCTTGTGACTACTTCAGAAACCCGAGTCCAATGGGGCATTCCTGTTTACTGTGGCCTCAAGGAATGTGACCCTTGATCCTTGCTTGAAGGCTGGAGTTCCACCAGCAGTTAACACTGCTGCTCTGGCTAGGAATGGGGTGGGAAGGGAACTGGACGTCCAAGGATGTCTCTCATTCTGGGGCACCTGCCTGGGGCAGTTCACCCTGCCTCCACCAACTCAGTTCTGCCAGTTAACTGTCACTGGTCACATTCCAGCTGGAGTCATTTCCCAGCTCTGACCAGTCCTCCCCAACCCCAGGCTGGGCCCTGTCTCACTATCATAGGTGTACCTATCCTGCATAGCCCTTATCACAGCTGCAACTCCATATTAACGTTTCTGAGCACTTGATGTGTGTCCATCGAGGCCTCTGGGGTCCAAGTTCAATGCTGACAAGTCTTTTTTTTTTTTCTTGACCAAGTTCTCACTAGCACTTAGCCCAGTACCTGGCATATAGTATGGGCTCAATAAACTTCTCTGATGGATACAAGCCTTCCAAATGAAACCTAGGTCAAGGTGGATACAGCGGGGTGCACGAGCAAGCATGAGAAAGAGTTGGGGTTTGTTCTTCTGTGGAGGGTAAAGGGTGAGAGCTGCAAGGAAACAGGTGCATGGGCCCCTGTCGAGGTGCCTGACTGCTATGCACATGCCCACCACACCCTCTGGTACAGGGTAGGCGAAAGTGAAACAGTAGCGAAAAAGCTGTAACTAAAGTAACAAGTGTTTAACACTTTTTTACGTATGTCAAGTAAAGCCATGAAACTGAATGGAGGGAAGGGAAATATATGGATCAGTGCTGGGTCTGAGGCAGGACTACCATTTCCAGAGGTCCGGTCACAATTCTATTGCCCCTCAGAGGACACAGGATGTGTCCACAGGAAAACCCAAAATCTCTTGGGGGAGGGAACGGCGTTCCTCTCACCTTGTGCTGCTAGGGGTCACACAGGCCCAGGTGTGATTGCCACTATTACTAGTACGAAGTCTTGTCTTCTTCAATCTAATTCTTCACCCTTATTCTTTTTTTTAATAAGATTTTATTGGGTAATTGGGGGAGGGGAACAGCATTGGGGAATCGGGGAAGGGGAACAGACAAGTTGCTGTCGTTTTGTTCTTCAGTCGAGTTGTGGAAGACATCGCTGCACTGGCCCATGTTGGTATTGTGATCATTGCGCTCTTCCCAGGTGAGGCAGATCGGTCACCTGCCATTGGATGGCTGCTCATGGGCGGCACACGGCAGCTCTAGCCCCGGCTGCCAGCCACTGACCGTAGTTTATAACAGCCCACTGCAGCCCCACTGCAGCCTACACCTGTCGACTGTCGCCAGAGACTCACAGCAGCCCAGCTCCAGGTCGAGCTGTTGTTCAGCATCTTAGCTGTAGAGGACAGTGTCACTGGCCTGCATGTGGGATCCGAACCCAGGCCCTGCTGCTCAGAGCTGGCATCCCAAGCCAACTCTTAACCAATGTGCCACTCGGGCCCTTCACCTTTATTCTTGTCCCCCACTCCAGCTCCACCTCAATCAGGCTCTGCCCCACTTAAAAAGAAAAAAAAAACACACCCTCCAAACCAAGCCTGCCAGGACTCCGATAAGTGAATGCACTTGATCTTTACGGGAAGCCCTTTCCCACGCCTCCCCTTGCACGGCTACAGCCATGGGCACTGTAGCCCTCGCCTGGCGACGCCAGGAGGCCTGACCTCTGCCAGCAGTACGACCTGTCGCCGCCCTTCCCGCCTTCCCGCCCTCCTCCAAGTCCGCGCACGCCAAGCCCGCGCGCCTTACGTCGGGCCCGGCCCCCCAGCCGGTTCTGAGCAGCGCGCATGCGCGCGCTCCAGGGCCCGCGCGGAGAGAGAGGGCGGGGCCGAGGGGCCGAACCCGCGGGGGGAGGGGCGGCGTCGGTCACGTGATGCGGTTTCACTGTTTACACGCGGAGCGGCTGGAGCTTTCGGCCTCAGTCAGGCGCTCGGCTCCGTTTCGGTTTCACTTCCGGTGAACGGCCGCCTCTGAGCGGGCGTTGAGCCGACGGCGAGCGCAGGCGGAGGCAGTGACCGCGGCGCCGCTACCGGGGGGCGTGCGGTAGCGCGGCGGCTGGGCCTCGAGCGCCCGCAGCCCACCTCTCGGGGGCGGGCTCCCGGCGCCAGCAGGGCTGTCGAGAAGATGGAGGAGCTGGTGGTGGAAGTGCGGGGCTCCAATGGCGCTTTCTACAAGGTACTTGGCTCCAGGGCCGGCCCCATCTTCGCCCTTCTTTCCCTCCCTTTTCTTCTCGGCCTCGGAGGGAGGCAGGCCTGGGGCCCTCTTCCCGAGCGCCGCACCCGGGGTCCAGGGCGCGCTAGGTGGGATGTTGCTTGGGAGGGAAGGACCGGAGTTGGGGCCTGTAGAAAGCCCCTCGAGCTCCGCTGCCTCTCCTACGAGAGGCCCTGGCGCCTATCGGAATGAGAAGCGGCAAGGAGAAGAGAGGTGCCCTTTCGGGGGACGATCCCCGCCAGGGAGAGCCGGGGATGGGCGAGGGCCGGCGGCAGGGACGCGATCGAGATCCCGGCGGGAAGGGCCGGTATCCGCGCGAAGTGACGGCAACGGTTTATTTCTCTTTTCCTAAATATTCTCTCCCAGTGGGTTCCGGGCCTGACGTGTGGGTAGTTGCCGAGGAGCGGGGGGCGCTTCCGTCGAGCCGCCTCCTGCCTTGCACAGAGGGTTTGAGATCTCCTTTGGCTTCTGTTTTCCGGTCCAGCATTGGGACTTCGGAGAGCTCCACTGTTTTGGGCAAGGGGTGTGAAGAAAGAGTAGTAGGAAGCAGTAGTCAATACCAAATCACAAAGGCAACTGATTTTTAGTGCCCTCTCTTTGTGGATTTCAGAAGCGATTTTTAGATCCAAAACTTTTAGGAAGATACTTCCCTGAGTAATGCATTAAAGAAGTTGGTAATCTTGAATGTTCGCGGTCCCCTCCCTGGTTATAAATGTGGGCAAATTCAGGCATTACAGATGCTTTAGCATCTAAAATGATTAGCAACTCGGCTACTGAAAAACCAAAATTTTAGCCCTCCAAAGACCTGAATATGCGCTATCAAACTTCAGCAAATGAACTAAATGTTATTACTAGGGAATTTTTAAAAGTAAGTGGAAACAATTGTTTCGTGCTCTAAAGTGCTTGACTCTACCTGAATGTACATTGTTGCAAATTGACTTTATTGTTGAGGTTTTAAATAGGCATATGCATGGTTTACTGTGGGTTTTTCTTTTTTAAGTTACAATGTTGCAGATCAACTCAAGTGTTACATTTTCAGAAGGAGGATTAAAACTATTTTTATGTATCAGTAATGTGTCTGTTGATACATACTATAGATCTAGTTAGTAATCTGTAAATTCTCATTCCCTCTTCAATGTCCCTCTATCACTTCTGCAAGTAATATCTCACCTTACTAACAGGCTTTTGTCAATAGAAGATGCATACGGGAGGAAGCATGGGAATTAGGTATTGCCATTGTCTAACACGATTCTTAAAATTATTATAGGATAGCTTAAAACATTTCAGATGAGACCCTTTCGCTAAAGGAAAGTAAAAACAAAATTCACTTAACTATGTATGTATTTGGAGATTAATATATTTCATAAGTGAGTGAAGTATGTATATGTAAACTGTACCATACTTTTGGCAAAAAGAGAAAACCTTTCACTGTAAAAGGAGGAGGAAATAACCCAGCATTTATGTTCTTAACGGTCTCACCGATAGAAAATTGTTTTAGTGGACTCCGCAGGCAAAATTTCGGTTGCATTTATTTCAGTGATCCATAATTTCTGCTGGCTAGTTGGTGTACAGTTATTCTGGTTCCAAGATTGGTAGTTTTGCTCCCTAGATTTGTGATGCTAACTACTGATAAATATTAGCGGGGCTAGTGCTTGAACCAGTATTCTAATCTATGACATTAACTTAGATTGGATGCCTCTCAGTGTCTTTTAGTGGAGTTTGCTTGCTAGAGAGGGCAAGTAGCAAGCACATACTGGTCTTAAGGATTTATTGTTCTCCAGCAACCTATGTTTGCTCCCATGATTTTGCTTGCAGACTGATGGGAATATAAGAAATGTCCTCTATCTTTGCTACTAATCCTCCCTTTTTGCTTTTTTTAAAAAAGTTGCTTAATGTGAAGGTGAATAAAAAGAATGGCTTGTCCTGTAGTTCCTTGGGGTGGAGGGGAAAGTGAAACTTGAACAAATGTGCGTGGAGAAATTGCTGTTGTATTTCTTTAATTATATTTGTTTTTAGGAAAACCTCAAATGGCCTGCCTGTATTGGTGGAAAAATAGTTTCTGTAATGAAGAAAGCTTAAATTTTTATAGGACTCATAATATTGCTGAGTTACAAAAGTGAAGCAAAAGTAAACTGAGTTGTTTATCCAGTGGGATGGGTAGAAAAGACGAGAAATAAAGACCAATAAAAATAAACTGTTATGGAGAAATGTTATATTTATGAAAAAAAAGAGGAACTTGGTTCATCAAATTGATAGAAAAACCTTTAAAAACTGAACAACTTAAACGGCTTCAGTATAATTGAATTCAGACTTTGATGTGCCTAATAGAACCACCATATTGCAAAGGACAGTTCTCCATCTTCTGAGCACATGGTCCACCCTTGCAAGTTACACTGGATAAAGTATATGCTGGGACCAGTTGGATTGTTTCTCTCAAAAATAACTCAAGCTCAGGATTCAGAATTAACAGAACCATGAAACCTGAACCCTAAGAATGTAACAGCTCATTTCAATTTTCCCTCTGGTGTTTATTCTTAAAAACTTGTAAGTTAAATTTAGTAATTGTCAGAGCCACTACTATTATGCATAAGTATTTCTTTGACTTGGAAAAAGATAGTCATGTGTACAACTTATAGAGCCTTATGTTATTTAAGACACGAAGAAACTCGAATTATACCTCACAAAACCCTTACAAAGCATTTCCTAAACAAATACTGTTAAAACAAGGCCTTTCTTCTAGGGGCATCTGCCTAAAATAGTTTAGTAGGCTTTTTTTTTTTTGGCTGAGAGTTTTGCTATATTGAGAGAATGGCAATGAATTAACTCCATTTTAGATGTAGAATGTCATTCCAACACTCATATAGATTCCTAGGTTTTGTATACTAGTATGAAAATTACTAAAGATGGATAAATCATATGTTGGAAACATAAAATACACCCATTTTCTGAAAATGTTCTACATGATATATGGATAAACATAATAAATTGCATTCTTATTGTTAGGTTATATTTCATTATATTTTATGTTTTTAAGTTTGTTATCTGAGGACACACTTTAATTTGGCAAGTAGTAATATGGAACTAGCAGCTAAATATGACAAAATGTACAATCAGGAGGAAATTGTTTTCATGACGACTCAAGTGGCCCAACATGTCATGTCAGCTACACAGCCTGCTAGAAATCACTGTTTTTACTACAAATAAACTTGCATAAGGCACTGTTCATGTTTCCTCTGAAGTCTCTAGATATAACTTTGCATTCAGGTGTTATTCTGTACTTCGAGTAAGTGAATTGTTCAGGTCAACCACATTTTTTTTCTTCCCAGAGTCTAAATAACCTTTTTAGTGTTTAGTATCTTTGTGGAAGCATCATTTTCCCCCTTTAAACTGCGTTTTCCAGCTTCACATTCACCCACTCTGAAAACCTCCAAATGATTCATTAAACACGAAGTTCAGTGGTATAGTAATTGGGTTTCTGATTCCTGCCCACTATGGGAATGTGCTTCCTGAAATGAGTACACTTGTGATTATGATACCTGTTAACAGGTGCTGAGAGTTTTCTAGGCACCAGGCACTGTTCTGGGCACTTTCTCTCTGTTAACATATTTAATCCTCTCCCACAATCCTGAGGTACTGTCGTTATTCCCATTTTATAGATGAGGAGATAGATGTATAGACAGATTAGGTAAGTGACCTACTGCTGTGTGTCAGTGCTAGTAAGCGTTGGGTCTGGGGTTTGAGATCAGGTAGTCTGACTTCCTGAGATGATGAAATTCAGCTTGAAGAAATGAATCGGATTTGATTTCGTGCCCGCTTTTCGATTTCATTGTAATCTTTTATTGTATTTGTTATTGTGACACTGCCTTAGCGTTCTGTAAATACAGTTGCAAAGGTTATGTTACCAGTTTTTAATGTTCATACAAAGATGTGAGTGAATTTTTTTCATGCTGATACAAAGATGTTGTGAAATATGCAGCTTTTTATCAGCTTCCTTTTGATTAACTCTTGCACTTGGACATACTGCATGGTAACCCTTCATATGGATGTCTGTTAAGGAAAGGGAAAGTTAGCAATCTTTGACCCTGCCGTGAAATTTGCTTTTCTTACATTGGGAGCACATCAGAGCTCAAGTATTCAAAAGTTAGAATACATACACACAGGGAAATTCATATATAACTCATTTAATATTATTGTCTCTGTACTTGTGTGTTGTATTTGGTTCAGGGTGAACCAGAAAGAAGTCATTTGTCCCAGAACTTGTGGTAAATGCCCAAGTGAAGTCAAGTATTCCTGGACATGTGCTGTGCTTGGAACGGTTGTTGATGAGGTTTATTGTACTTTTCCCTTTTTGTTGTTCATTTTCTTATGTTGTTAGTGCCCACGTACAAAGGGTGACAATGCGATAACCCGCTTTATATATGAGGCTTTGGGTTTGAATCCTATTTTATCACTTCCCATGTGTCCCTTTCCTCTACCTTTTACAGGTTTTCTTTAGGAGGGTTATTTTGCAGTGCTCAAAGTTTTCTCTAATGAGAATCACAATTTCCTTACACGTGCTCTCATCAGTGATACTGTAGTGGATGTGTTTAGTGGTGGTCAGGGGCTTCTATTGAAATTTCCCTACCCAAGAACCTGTCTTGCGACCAGCAATTCATATTTGTGAGTGAGTTTACTAAACTAAGGTGTGGGGGGGAGTACGCGTTCACCCAGCTAGGGATGGACTTTCTCAGTTTCATCAATCCCGGTAATGCAGTGCGTGAATTGGATTTCTAGTCATTATGCACTTTGGTAAGTATGATTTTATGATTGCCTCTTGGCCCAGTTGCCAGTAAGTTGCAGGTCCCATAATGGTTTTTTGATTTCGTCTTTACTCCCCCTGATAAGGAGCCTGTGTCTGTCTGTAACTGCACTTGAGCACCTTTCTCAGACCCCACAGATTTTCATCACTTTTTTTTCCTTTTCAG